AAATCGAAATGGGGGGGGGGGGGGGGCGTCGAGGTACCATTTGAGGGTGTGGGCATCACCCCGATGACAAACACGCTAGGAGGAACGACACCGATACGTACCTCGGCAAACTCCTGCAAGCCATGACCACACGGTCGTGCGCACTTGCCTACCCAGCACCGCCTCCGTCGGAAACTTTCCAAGTAAAGCCTCGACGGGACTTGTCCCATCAAAGTCATTCGCCGACGCCGTATATTTTACTTTAAACCGGCGCCCACAGCTTAATGCTGGACTAACCATAAATAGGAGCCAATTTGTTGCAAGACAGAAGGGCTCCTCCTCTATCCACCCTCCTGCGGTGCTGGCCTCCGATTCTTCTCGCAAAAAAAAAGAGGAAAGGACCGAAAACCTCACGCCGGTCACTGAGCCCATCGCCGCGACAAACACCCGTTGCTCGCTGCAAGTAGCCAGCCCTCCTGCTGTAACCGGATGTTCCCCAGCGTATGCGCACGTACCTCCAGCACCTTGACGATATCCCCCTTCCTCACGCTCCCTAGGTCCATCGAGAAAGGGTCCGCCTCTTCCCGTACTTTCACGAACCTAACCGCGATAGTCAATTTAGATGGTTCCACATCGAAAACACGTGGCGTAGGTAACAGAGTCAAGGTCCGGCTAACGGTGTGTGGTTTAGAGTGTGAGGATAGGTATGGGGGACACAAACCGTACGTCGAAGGAATGATACGGTCTTCTTGGCTGCACGGGGCGGCAAAAACGGAAGTATCACGCCCAACTGGCCGCTACTGATGAGTGCTTCCGGTTCGGATAGAGAAATGGAGTAGGGGATCGCACGTGCACGAAAACACTACCGTGCACCCAAGCGCAAATTCACCCGAAGCAAGACTAGGAGCATGGAGCACACACCCGCTGCCACATAAAAGACACCCGGACAACGCTAAGGACAGCAGGAGAGACCAGCACCACAAACATCGGCCTTGAGGTGCCAACTACGCCGACCAATCCGCCTCTCCCAACACAAAACCTACCCCTCTACCCTGCGCCAGAACGGAGAATAAGCAGCAACAGATGATAAACAAGAACCTCTCTCTCACCCCAACGCCGTAAAGAACTCCGCTGACACCGCCTCGTCCCCGGCGCCTCCTCCCGCCACCGCAGCGGCACCCGCTTTCGTGCCAACGGCGCCACCACCGCCGCCGCCGCCGGAAGGAGCCCCTCCTTCATGCCCCGGCGGGAACTCGCTCGGCGGCACCCACGCCCCCTTCCCGCCGCCGGTAAGTGGTCGGTCCTCGCCTGCCGCCGCCCCCGGACCGCTTACCTCTGGGGCGGTAGGTGTCTGTTTCGCGCCCGTCAGAGGCCTGTCGCCGTCGTCTGGCGGAGCGGCGGAGGCGGCGGCGGCGGCGGCGGCCAACGACGCCTCCTGCGCGTCGAACTCCCTTGCGGCGGAGGCTTGGTCTTCCGGAGGGACCAGGATGGGGCCTCGTTTGTTGGCGGTGAGCATCCAGCCGTCCTCTCGGCCGCGGTAGGACACCCGCGCCCACAAGCCAGATTTCTGGGACCAACAGACCAAACACACCACCCCGCAAAATCGGTGCCAAGCTTTCCATGGAATCTGAGTACAAGGATCTCAATGGTAATTCTAGGGAAATATTAAGATTTCGACAGGTATCGGCGGGAAATGCAACTCCCTGGGATAGACTGACAAACCTCAGGGTTGATGACGGGGGGGCGGGGGGGGGGGGG